TGGCCACTGTTACAAGGACAGTGACACCTGAGCACCTCCCTCCAGGCCCCAGCAGCATTCCTGAGGTACGACAGCCCAGGGACCCTGAAGGGGTAACAGGGGCAGCTCCTGAGCTCCACAAGTCCCTATAGCAGCTGGGGCATGGCCAGCCCTCCCTGCTCACACTGGCAGCTCCCCCACAGCTGCTGCCGCTGGCCTGGGAGGTCCAGCCAGCAGACCCGTCCAGGAGCCCGGCTCAGGGGCCAGACGGCAGCAGCCGTCGGTCATTACTACCTGCCCTGCTGGGCACTGGGAGGCACCGGCCCCTTTCATCCCAGGAGCAGGAACACGGGCACGCCCCTCTCCCCGATTTCATGCCTGCCGGGAGCACATGTTCTCACCAGCGGAGGACAATCCGCGTAATGAGGTCAGATTTAAGCGCTAGCAGCAGCAGCAGCAGCAGGGGGGAGCTGCTGGAAATTGGGGGCTGTGGGCCAGATGCAAACAGGCTACTCAGGGCGTAGCCAGAGGGTAGAGGGGTGGGAGTGTCCCCGCCCCATCCCTGACCCATGCATAGCTTCATGCATACGCATGCATGGGTCTACATGGCAGCCCTGGCCACTCACCTGAAGTTACACAGTCCCTGGGCACCAGCCACTCCCCCTTCCCCATCTCCTATTTATTTTTGTTTGTTTGAATGGCCCCTTTTTTGATAAGTCCCCCCCAAGACACCTGCCATGTTGGCCATGGGTCCCCACCACGGCTAGCTGCTCATTGTAACCTACAAGACCCACCAGGTTACCCTGCTGGCATCTGCCTCTCTCTTTAAGATTTATTTATTTTTATTTGAAAGGCAGATCTACAGAGAGGACTAACCATCTGCTGGTTCATTCCCCAAATGGCTACAATGGTTGGAGCCGATCCAAAGCCAGGAGCCAGGAGCTTCTTCCGGGTCTCCCATGCAGGTATAGGGTCCCAAGGCTTTGGGACATCTCCCACCGCTTTCCTAGGCCACAGGCAGGGAGCTGGATGGAAGCAGAGCAGCTGGGACATGAACTGGTGCCCATAAGATGCTGGCACTGCAGGTGGAGGATTAGCTGGCTGAGCCACCACATCATTCCCTCTCCGTGCAGCACAAGAGCTGCAGGTAGCCAACGTCTCTTACCAGTGTGACTGCAAGTGGGGACCTGGGTGTTTGCATATGTAGCTCCTAGGATTAGCCCTTGCTCTCACCACGGTTTGGCAAGAAGCATGTTCCAATTGGGGTGTCCACGGTCACCCTGGCAATTCATATAAAAAGTGGCTTTCTGTCAGGTTGCAGAATCTAGGTGGCAGAATTCAGGTACCTGGGGCAGTAACCACTTATCTTGCGAAAATAAGGTATTTTTAATTGGCTTCCACTAAACTCTACCCATAAACACAGACTCCGACTCCGTAAGAAGAATTAGCCCCCGGGGTGGGCGTTCAGCTTAGCCAGTTAAGATGCCACTTCAGATGTCCCAACGTCTCACAAAGAGGTGCCTGGGTTCAACCTGAGCTTGTAGCACCTGACTCCAGCTTCCTGCTAACACAACTGTTAGCTGTTGCAACCTGGGAGGCAACAGGTGATGGCGCAAGCGCTTGGGTCCCTGCCATCCCACACGAGAGGCTCAGGTGGCATCTGGCTTCAGCCCAGCCCAGCCCAGCCTGGGCTGTTGTGCGTGTCTGTGGGATGAACCAGCGCACAGCAGGTGTCTCTCCTTATCTGCCTCTACTGTCCAGTTCTGCCTCTCAAAAAAAAAAAAGTGGAGTGTAAGGGGCAGAGTGTGTGGTAGCCCAATGGCTGTCAGGTCACACTGGTCAAGCGGGGTCAGATGGCACAGGAACCAATGTGTTGGGGGACCCGGTAAGGCCTGGCAGAGATTTTTGCACTTGGCTACTGCACAGTCCAGGGACCACCAAGGCCCCCCAAACCCGCCTCCAGCGCCAGCACAGAATTCAGGCCACAACTGGTTAATTCGGCGATGGGCCCCCTGGGTGCGCACGCCCGGCTCAGCTGGCTGTGCTAGCAGGCTGCCTGTCCTCACTCAGCGCTGTAATCGGCACATCTGCAGACAGGAAATCCACCTCCCCAAGTTCCCAGTCTATTATCTGAGACACCTGGTGTGGGCGGGTGATTCACAGACAAACAATGGGGGGGGGGGGCCTGCACAGCAATTAACTGCTTTAACTGCTAATGTGTTTAATCCGCCACGTGGAGATCAAGGCGGGCGCAGTGCAGGGGAGAGCTGCAGCCCCCCCCCCCCCGGAGTTGGGCTGCCCTTCCTAGCTGCAGGACCCATGCCCACCGCCATGCCAGTGGCCACTGTCCCAGGGAGAAGGAGCAGCAAGCAGGGCAAAGTTAGTGGCTACACCCTGGGCGGGGTGTGTGTGTGTGCGCAGGTTTAAGAGGGGCCCCTGGCCCCTTTTCTGGGCCTGAAGGCAGTGCTTGCCGCTGGAGGATAGTGGAAGTGCGATGCCAGCAGGGCAGTCTGCCCCCGCCCCCTAGGCTCCTGAGGAGAGGGATAAGCCTTCATGGCCAGTGGAAATGAAGCTGGCTCGGGTGCAGAGTGGGAGAAGCCCAGACCCCGCCGACAGACAGATGGAAGGACAGGGTTCCTGAGTGTTTACAAAATCTGGTTGGAGCAAGCCGAGCTATGGCATCCTCGCATGCCCACACAGCCAAGCCTTCCCTCTTCCCTCCCCTTCCTCTCCCAGGGCAAGTCAGGAGCAGCCTTGCCAAGGTGAGGTCAGAGGCCACTGGCTACATCCCCAGCATCCATCAGGCCTGGATGGGATGTTGGGGGGTTGGGGGGAGCAGAGCTTGCCCTTTTTTGAAAATTGGAAGTGGATTTGGCTGGGAGTGGGGGTGGGATTGGGGAGGAGTCAGAGGCAGGAGCACTGGGGTACAGCCAGAATGACCCCAGGGTTCTGGGTCCACTGGACTCACAGGGAGGGGCCATGGGATGGGCGGAGCACAGAGATCCTAGAGAACAGGAGACCTGAGGGGAACGCAACCCCTTGGTGACTTCCACCCCAAGACGCAGGCTCGCGGGCAGTTAGGAAAAGTGGCAACCACCACCCGAAAGCAATCCTGAGCTGGGCAAGGATGTCTGAGAAGGGCCGACACCACAGCACCTGGCATGACAGCCCACGGCATCCACGTGGGAGCCCACGCACAGCAGTCACCCTGTCCCGCCCCTCTGTCTCAGGCTCCAGGCCACCCTCTCTCCCGCCCAGCTTCCCTCACCAAGGCTCAGGCCCAGGCACTGGGCAGGGGCCTCCTGCCACGTGGACGCTCTCCATTCTTCCTCCCCCAAGCCCTGAGCCCCTGCCCCCTCCCGGGAGACTGCAGTGGAAGGGGCTGGTGATGACACTGACACCGACTGTTAGCATGTGATGGCCAGCAGAACCCCAAAGTACCCCCTGGGCAGTGTCAGGTGCTGTCAGAAGACAATGACCTTCAGAAAAAAAAAATCTGCCATCATTAATCTGCGTCAAAAGCGGCTAGCTCGAGCATACACCCAAGTTCACGGCAAGACGACTCGTAACAACCAAAAAGCGAAGCAACCCAAGCGTCCATCAGTCTATGAACGAACAATGAAACACAAAGTCCTCCAGGCTTACAACGGGAGAGACATTCGGCCCAGGAGGCCACAGCCACGAGATGAGCCATGAGACTGTCATGTTGCAAGAGTTGCCCGGCCACAGGGAGAAGCAGCCACTGGGGGATGCCACTCAGACAGGGCACCTAACCCGAGATTCACACAGCAGACCGAGAGACTGGTGGGGCCCTGGGGGCTAGGCAGGGACACAGGAAGTTAGTGAGGGATGGGACGAGAGTTCCAGTTGGGGAAGATGGACAGCGCTGCTGGCTGTAAAACAATGTGAGGACACCTGGCGACCCTTGACATGCACTTAAACTAAAACAGAGGCCAGTGCTGAGGCACAGCGTCCTAAGCCTCCGCCTGTGGCGCTGACATCCCATATGGACGTCAGCTTTGAGTCCCAGCTGCCCCACTTCCCATCCAGCTCCCTGCTAATGCACCTGGGAAAAGCAGCAGAAGATGGCCCAACTGCTACCCACATGGGAGACCAAGATGGAGTTACAGGCTACTGGCTTCAGCCTAGCCAAAGCCTGACCATTGCAGCCACTCAAGCGGAGACCCTCTGTCACTCCTCTCTCTCTGTAACTATGTCTTTTTCTTTCTTTCTTTTTAAGATCTATTTATTTTTATTGGAAAGGTAAATTTACAGAGAAGAGATAGGTGGACACAATGGCCTGAGCTGAGCCGATCTGAATGCAGGAGCCAGGAGCTTCTTCTGGGTCTCCCATGTGAGTGCAGGGTTCCAAGGCTTTGGGCCGTCCTGCACTGCTCTCCTAGGCCACAGGCAGGGAGCTGGATGGGAAGTGGAGAAGCCAGGACGTGAACTGACACTCATATGGGATCCCAGCATTTACAAGGTGAGGATTTAGCCACTAAGCTACTACATCAAGCCCAACTAGGTCTTCCAAATAAATAAATATACAGAGCCAGCACTGGGGTGTAGAGCATTCCACGGGGGATTGGTTTGAGTTCCAGCTTTAGAGAATGGCCCAAGTACATGGACTCCAGCATCCATGTGGGACACTCAGAGACGCCAAATGGCCACTGGAGCCAGCTGGGGAGTGAACCAGCACATGGAAGATCTCTCTGTCTTCACTCCTCACCACCACCTCTGTAACTGTCCTTCAAATTAAACAAGTCTTTAAAAAAATGTTAACATGGTAATTTCATGCTATTTATTATATAAGCAGTCTCTAAGAAGTTTGCACTAACATTTTTTAAAAATCTATTCAAAAATTTCAAAAATTTGTTCACAAAAGAAACTTACCTTTCAATTCCACATTTACATGAACTTAAAAAAATACTCCCATATAGTATTACCATATATATATTTTTAAAGATTCACTTATGTTTGAAAGAGAGATAAAGAGAGTGAGCAACTTGATGCCTCCTTACCTATGGCCCACAGGATGGTGTCAAAGATGCCCGTGCCCTCCCTGCCAGAGGTGTGGTCCTCCCAGGTAACCTGGAGCCGGCCGTCTGGGAGCTTTGCCACCCGGGATGGGGTGCAGCCCCTCAGGAACTGGGTGCCATGAGAAGCCATGTGGTCGGTGACCAAGGATGCCATTTGCTGCAAGGCCAACAGGGGGCGCTGTGAGGGCCCGAAGCAGATGTTCTGCCGCCCTCCCGGCTTCCAGGCCAAGGGCCTTGGTCAGCAACACATGTCCTGCAGCTCCTCTGTAGAGCTGTCTACTCCAGGGGTTCTGCCTTGGCGCCCTTCACCATTCCCTGGACCCCACTGTAGGTGGAAGATGCCATTCCCCCTTCCTGGACCACAAGACCCCATGTGTTCACCCTGCCCCAAGTCATGGCTGCACAGGGTGAGAGGGGCGGGGCTCTGTGCAGGTGGGTTGTAGGTGGGCCACAGGGCACTCTGCTCTGCCCAGTACTGGCCCGCGATGGGCTGAGTGGGAGTTGTCCAAGGGCCTGCCCAAATCCTGTCCAGGACCCTGTATGCCACCAGGTAACTGCTATAGAGGCAGGGCAGGGCAGTGGTGACCTGGGCACCCTCTGCCAGGCAGGAAGATTCTGGTGGCACTGGACACCTGACCAGTGACAACCTCGGGTTCAGCCACTTTCACAGGGGACTGTTCTCAAAGAGGGGCCAGCCACCATGCAGTGCACCTGCACAGGTGCTGCAAGGTGGTACCTATGAAGACAAACACCCCCCCCCCCGGGGCAGTAGGGCTACAGGGAGTGTGGCCCCTGGTGGGGGGGGAAGGCACCTGCAGGCAGGAGCGGTGGTGATGGGGTGCTGCACAGGAGCTGCTCACCTGGTCAAAGCCGCGGAGGGGGATACTGCGGATCATGATGGTGGTGTCCAGCCCCAGCCCGGTGAGGAAGCCTGCACACTCCAGGGCGACGTCTGCAGGCCTGAGGCTAAGGAACAGCAAGCAGGCCAAGGCTCCCGGGCATGACGGGCGGGGGGGTGCCCACAGCCCCGGCTCCACCCCTCCCTCCACAGGGAACCCTGAATACCCCCACCCATGTGCCTCTGGTAGAATGGACTGGGGGTGGCAGAGTGGTGCTCTGCTTCTTTCCCCGCTCCCCTGCCCCGGGGTCAGGGTCATCTGCCCAGGGCTTCCTGGGGGTGTTCACTTAGTGATGGAGAATTCCTGGCCGGACTCCAGGAGGAAGCGGCCAGTGTTGCAGGGTCTTTCATTTCCCCCTGGACATGCCCCTGCTGACTCTCGCCACCCCAGCCCCCTCTCCTGGCCCACCCCCGAGAGCCGGCTCTTCCTGAAGGAATTCAGCTGGATCGCGGCCACTCCCAAGGGACGTCCTCCAGCTGTCCAGTGCATGGCTCGGGAAGAGGCTTCTGGAAAGCCACAGCCACAGAAGGGTCAGCCTCAGGGCCTGGACAGCAGAGTTGGAAGGGCTGGGGAGTATCCAGGTCCCAGGACCGTCAGCAAAGGATACAGCTGGCCCCAACCACCAACCTGTTAGAGAAAAGGAGAGACAGAGGAGCAGGTGAGGGCCTGGACTGGGTGCAGGAGCTGGCGTCATGAGCCTGGGACCATGACAAGTCCCTCAGGCGCATAGCCAGCTACTGAGCGCTGAGTCCTGCTGTGCAAACAGACAGTCCCAAGGCTCAAAGCCCACTTCCCAGGGGCTCCAGTGGGGAACTCTAACAGGGCCAAGCACAAGTGCTAAGGAACCAGCAACGGCCTGGTGCAGAAGGGTGCATTGTCTGTGATATGGCACACCTGTCCCTGGGAAAGGCCCCAGGGTTCTGAGGTCTCAGAACAGACACGCAGCGGGGTTCTGCCCTACATGGAAGGTGAGGCCCGAAGGTCCATTGTGCCCTGGCCTCGGCAGGACAGCCCACTCAGGGAATGGGGCTGAGGGCACAGTGGGCCGGGTCACCCATGGGAAATATTTGCTCCAGTCCTTTTCTGTTATTCAGTTCTACCCTATAGATGCGTAGTCTCACACTGGTGTACACACACCCACACACACACCCACACACACACACACAGATGTGACCACATGAACACATGCCTACACAATCTGCATGTGAGTAGAGTCCATGCACACACCCACTCACATGTAAGCATACACACAGTAGCTGCAGTTACATGCTAAGCGTGTAACATTCACAAGCCATGCATGTGCATTCATGCAAGTATACACAGCAGCTGCACATCTGCACACAAGCATGTGTGTCACGATGTGTGTAAGCAGCAGCCACCTGGGGACACGTGGTACCTGGGCAGATCCACCCACACAGGCACATGCATGCACGCACACATATGCAAGCTGACACAGAACAGGAACTCCCAGCGGGGGTGGCTGCCCGTGGGTGGGCTCAGCTGCTCACCCCTCCAGTCTTTGAACAAGAGGAGGTGATGTAAGGACGGCTAAGCCTGGTGTCAGCACTAATCCCGGCAGGTACTAATGATATAATTCCATTTCAAACAGCGCTGGATCCCCTGGAATACTCCAGCAGGGGCCCTGAGGGGAGTGTCTGCCAACAGGGCTTCCTCTTGGGAGCTGGGGACACAACTGTACCAGGCCTACGTCGGAGCCAACAGACCCAGAGCCCTGATGACCGGCTAGTCCTAGGCACCCCCAGCCCCAGTAAGGGAGGAGCATGGGGGGACCCAGGCAGGGGTCTGTGGGCACCCAAATTCTGGGTCTTCCATGTGGGTGCAGGGGCCCAGGCACTCAGGTGTATTCACAGGAAGCTGGATCAGATGTGGAGTGGCCAGGACTCGAACTGGTGGTAACCATTTGGGATGAAGAAAAAAAAAAAGCATAATGAAATGAATTAAGAGGGGAAGCCACGTTGTACCAAGCACAGCTTGTGTAAAAGCACAGCTGAGTTGGAACATAAACGCCTAAGAATGTAGATGCACGAAAACGTTACTGTCCCGCCTGGTGGCAGCTGACCTCTCCTTATCCCAGAATGCGTGAAGCCTTTAGGAGCTGGCCTGGTGGTTCCCCAGACCCTCCTGCCACCTTGCAGAGCACACAGCAACCCAGTGTCCAAATTTAGGATATACAAGCTGTGGGGAGCAGAGGTCTTGTAAACCAACGCCCCCTCCCTAAGAAGCCTTCTCAGCCTCTGATGCCTCTCTCCCCGCCCTCCAAGGCTAGCCCCGGAGGGTCACTCTGGGTCTGCTCTTGTCCGAGTAAAGATTTTTATCAGACGCCTTAGGGTTTGCATGCCACCCATCTCTGCACAATGCTATTGAGAAAGTTAAGAGATTTGAAGGTTCCCTTAGACAAGAGGGACCCGAAGGACCTGGAAGACAGGCTATGGGGATCGGCCATGCTCACCCTAAGGCAGGGTGTGTGGGGTGGGGGACACAGTGGTCAGCAGAGGTGTTGTGGGGGGCGCTGAGCCACCTGTAGAGGCATAGAGATCAATCGTGGCAGGTCATGGAGGACCAGGGCCTTGGACCTGCAAATGGCACTTGTCACTGCATTCCAAAGCCTGGCCATGGGGGGTATTCACTGACACAGGAAGTCACCCTCCTCACCCTATGAGGAGTTCCACGGCCAGTCCTCTCTGCACACCCCCCTCCTCCCCACTGCCAGCAGGCCAGCTCCACTCTGTGCCTTTTGGGTGTGCAAGCATTTTTTTTTTTTCTGCCAAGGCATAACTGCCGTGGGATTAGCTTAATCACAGGGCAGGCTTTCGTGTTCAAAATCAGAAATGGGAGGATGGACGGGGAGGGGGGAAAGGAAGTGGAAACAAAAGCATTAATTCAGGGCTCTTGAAGCCCAGGCTTAGGAAGCTCTCCTCCTGGCTCTGGAGCTCCAAGGCCCCCTGATCCACTCTCCAAGGACGACACCCACACAGAGCCAGGGTGAGCAAGTGGCTGCCAGGAGGCACCTGGCCCCCTTGGCAGCAGCTGCCAGCAAAGGAAATGCCAGCCGGGCTGGGGGGCAACACAGGGAGTGGGCGCAGGGGGAGGGGGATGCCCCTGGACATCTCCACACCAGTGGGACCCCTCCTTGCCCTGTGTGCAGGTCAACACATCCTAACCTTACATTGCCTCCCAGCCTCAGGGACAGGTATGGGGAGGTGGGTGGGGAGGGCAGAGGGTTAGGGGGGAATCCTATAGAGGGAGACAGAAGCAGAGGGGAGAGGGGAGACTGTGGAAGCAGAAGCTCCAGTTCTCCCTCAGGGAAAATGCAGTTTCCTCCCTCTTGGTGTTTATAAGCGAGAGAAAAGAGGCAGCACTGGCCAGCTACCTGCTAAGAGCCAGACAGGGACCCCTCCCTGAACGGACACAGGTCCACAGGCAAGTGCTAAATCAGAGCCACCCTCTGCATCCTTGAAGCCTGGAGAGGCGCAAGGTCGGCCCCAGGGTCTGCCATCCTCCTTGGAGACCTGGGCAGACAGCAGCAGCCCCCAGGGCCTGGTTGTTTCCCGGAAGCAGCAAACCTGGTTAGAGCCCCGGAGACAGACGCAGGGAGGGGTGGGAAGGAAGAGCTGCCCCAAGGTGGCCAGGGTCTTTTTCCCCACGCTAAAGCTGCAGAATGAGAAAGCTGCCTCTACTGGCAGCAGCAAAGGCACCACCTGGGAGGCCAGGACAGGGGAAGGAAGGGGACCTGGTAAGGGGGTGGAGCTGACATCAGGACCCTGCTGGGGTGCAGAGGCTTCCTGGTGGGGCGAGGGCTGGGATGCACACCACAGCTCAGCTCTGTGGGCTCCCTGGGGTTTGCCAGGCCCTTTCCCTCCTCGCTGCTGGTTCCTCCTCGCTGACCCCCAGTGTGTTTTCTTAAAGCAGACAACTCCCAACCCTTCTCACCTGCCATGTCCCCTCCACCTGCTCTGCTCTGTACCCCTGCTTGCAGGAGATCTTGGTACTCCTTGACTGTTCTTCCCAGGGGTCCCTGTCCCTCTCCCCAGCATCCTCTTCATTCCTGCAACCTCTCCTGGATCCCCCACTCCAACACCTCCGGAGAAGCCATGGCAAAGGCAGTGGACAGCGGCACAGACGAGGGTTCAAAGACCAAATCAGTGCTGATGGCACCACCAGAACTGGCCAGGTCTCCACCCACACCCTCCCAGGCTGGGAGCACTGCTCCCTGACGCCTCCTCGAATCCATGGCTGTGGTTCTGCACATCCTGCACGCCCATCCCACTGCTGGCCGGGGGTGGGGGATGGGGGGTGGGGGGCGTCTGTCACCTGCTCAGGTCCTGCTCAAGTCGACCCAGCTGCTCAGCAGGGGTTCAGTCACAGCAGGATGCCCCATTCTGTCTCCCATCCAGAAGCTGTGGGCTCGGTCACCCAGCTCTGCCTACTGTCCAGGCTCCCCAGGCTTGGATGCCAGAAGCGGAGGTAGGAGGTCATGGTACTGGCTGACCCGAGCTGACGGGGGAAAGGCCTTGTGCGAGGAACCCTAGATCTGACCTGAACCTACTGGGCACCTGCTGCTTCACACAGAAACAGCTCAGAAGGACCCTGGAGTGGCGGGGAGGGAGGCTCGGCTGAGGTGGCCCATCCCCGGGTCCGGGCACCCTGGGCACCCTCGCCTGCCAACCAGCCCCATTCTCCTGAACGATGAGGAGGAGGTGGCCAAGCCAAGCTGTCCCCACCAGGCCCCTGGGGTAGGGGCAGGCTAGTGGGGAGGGGCACTCGAGGGCCAAGGAGGGCGGCCTCGGGGTCCGTATTAATTTCAGCTCCATTTTTAAAGGCGAGTTAAAATAAACACGGGGAATATTTATAAGGCAAATAAATCTGGCAGAAACAGCCCCTCCAAGTGTGAGGGGAGGCCTCCCCCTCAGTCGACCCAAGCTGATAAAATACAGAAATGCTACCGTAGACCCTGCGGGCTTATTTTGACTGCACCGAGGAATGTAACATGTAAACATTGACTCCCATATTACACTGTTACAACTTGCATTAGCAGCCTCCGACAAAAGGCGCATTTCACAGCAGCATCGTCCGGGGGGATCTATCTCCAGCTTAATTTTTTTTTTTTTTGAAAAAACCATTTCCTCACATAAATCATGCTCAGAACGAAACGGGTGACTGATACATTGCAAGCGCTTTTTTTCCCCCCCTCAAACAATAACATACCTAGATTCCTTCTAAACGAAAAGAACCTTGAAAGAATTCTTTTAAATTCTAAATATTTTTTACTTTCTGAAGGAAATCAACACTGCATTTTTCTCTCCTGATTAAAATACATGGGGTGGTGTCTTCCCGGCCAAACCAGATAACCCCCAACACATGCATGGTCAGGCCAGCAGCTGTCCCCAAACCCTCCACTGGCCAGGGTCCATCCCAGGCAGCACAGGGAACTCACGGTGGCAGGCCTCCTTCCTAGCCCCTGGGATGGGCAGCCTTTGACAAGAAATACGCATGAGCAGCATGTGGAAAATAGTGCCTGTGGTGACAGGCAAGAAAATGACCCAAGTTCAAGGGCCTCCTCGTCTTGGACAGAGGTGCCAGGTGGGAGGCCAGCTTCCATAGGTGGGTGGGTGGTGGTTGGGCATAACACATTCAAAGCCATATCATCACGGGTTCAAAAGCCAGAGCTTTGGGGCCAGTGTCATGGTCTAGCAAGTTAAGCCTCCGCCTACAGTGCTGGCATCCCAAATGATCCTGGTTGGAGTCCTGGCTGCACAACTTCCTATCCAGCCCTAATGCACATCGGAAAGCAGCGGATGATGGCTCAAGTGTTTGGGCCCCTGCCACCCCTAGAAGAAGCTCCTGGGCCTATCACGGTTGCCTAGGAGCTAAAGTCCTCGTCTTGCATGTACTGGGATCCAACGTGGGTACTGGTTCATGTCATGGCTGCTCCACTTACCACGCAGCTCCCTGCCTGTGGCCTGGGAGAGTGGTGGAGGATGGCCCAAAGCCTTGGGACCCTGCACCCACATGGGAGACCTGGAAGAGGCTCCAGGCTCCTGGCTTAAGATAGGCTCAGCTCTGGCCATTGTGGCCACTTGGGGAGTGAACCAGCAGATGGAAAATCTTTTTCTCTGTCTCTCCTTTTCTCTGCCAATCTTCCTTTCCATTAAAAAATAAATTCATCTTAAAAAAAAAAAAACAAGATACAACAAAAAATACAAATAAGAAGAAGCTCCCAGTTCCTGGCTTCAGAATAGTCCAGCTTGAGCTGCTGCAGCCATTTGGGGACTGAACCACAGAACAGCAGATCTCAGTGTTTCCTCTCTCTGCCACTCTAATAAAAGTAACCTTTAAGAGAGAGAGAGAGAGAAACGCCTTATGGAGAAGCCAGAAAACATGTCTGAATTCCATGCATGAAAAACAATGTGATAGAATGTTTGAAGGGACGAGAAAAATAAGCCGCTGCCCGTGGGCAAAGTCGGAGGCCAGACGTGGGACCCCGGTGGGTGAGCTCCTTTCTGCTGGGCTCAGCTGTCTGCATGGGCAGCAAAGGAGAAAATCCAACTGTGGAGACCCTAACACAAAATCCGGGGGCTTTTGCGGGGGGTAGTTTTCTCTTAGAGGGCGGCGGGTAGGGAAATTTTTCAGAACACGTAATAAATCTAAAAGCCATTAAGTGTAAAGAGAGATTTAAGTTACATCTTAAAAAAAAAAAAAAACGGGGGGGGCGGGGGGGAAGCCATTTATACATCACGCAAGTTAAAAGACATGAGAAGCTGAGAAAATCTGTCCCACAAATGACAGGGGATCATGTACAGCACGCAGGACAGCTGGGAGATAGGACAGATAAGGAGAGGCGAGGAGGAGGAGGAGGAGCGGGGCCAAGGACCACACTGACGACACACACTCTTATTTTCAAAGGAGGCCAGAACACACCAGTAAACATCGGAATGTGTGTGGAAAGATCAGGGCAGAAAAGGAGTTTGCTTTGCTGTTTAAAAAAAACAACGGAGGATAGCACCGTGGCATGGGAGGCTAGCCTCTATTTGCACCACTGGCATCCCATACCAATGCTGGTTTGAGCCTCAGCTGCTCCACTTCCCATCCAGCTCTCTGCTTGTGGCCTGGGAAAGCAGTTGAGGACGGCCCAAAGCCTAGGGACCCTGCACCTGCGTGGGAGACCCGGAAGAGTCTCCTGGCTCCTGGCTTTGGATCAGCTCAGCTCCGGCAGTTGCAGCTGCTTGGGAAGTGAATCAGTGGCTGGATGATCTCTCTCTCTCTCTCTCTCTCTCTCTTTCTCCCTCCCTCTCTCTCTCTCCTCTAACTCTAGCTTCCAAGCAAAAGTAAATAAATGTTTTGAAAAACACGCTTTTGGGCCCAGCGGCGTAGCCTAACGGCTAAAGTCCTTGCCTTGAACACACCGGGATCCCATATGGGCGCTGGTTCTAATCCTGGCAGCTCCACTTCCCATCCAGCTCCCTGCTTGTGGCCTGGGAAAGCAGTTGAGGATGGTCCAAAGCTTTGGGACCCTGCACCCACGTGGGAGACCCAGAAGAGGTTCCTGGTTCCCGGCTTCGGATTGGCGCAGCACCGGCCGTTGCGCTCACTTGGGGAGTGAATCATCGGACAGAAGATCTTCCTCTCTGTCTCTCCTCCTCTCTGTATATCTGACTTTGTAATAAAAATAAATCTTTAAAAAAATTAAAAAAAAAAAAAGAAAAAGAAAAACATGCTTTTTTGTTTGTGTAATCCACGAGTCCTTGCTTCTTAGCACACATTTCCAATGAACGTTTTGAAGATCCTTTGACCGTGAATCACACGGGGCAGAGAGTTCAAAGCTGAAAGGAAGAGAGAGGAGGAACCCCAAAAGGAAGACAGGAAGGCGAGGAGGGATCAATGTGACAGTGCACACGGGCACGCGCACATATACGCACACACACAGTTTTCTCCTCCTCCGGTCTTGAACCCTCGACTGTGTAGTACCCCTCTGTATCCCATAAGTATGGACAACTGAAACCACAATGTTTTCAAAAGGAAAGATTCCAGCAATTCCCTCCTCTTAATTTTTTTTCAACCTTTTAAAAGATTTTTCTAATAATTTGAAAGACAGAGGTGTAGAGAAAGAAGAAACAGAAAGATCTTCCCTCCATGGGTTCTTTCCTCAAATGGCTTCAATCACCAGAATTGGGCCAGTCCAAAGCCAGGAGCCAGGAGCCTTTTCCGGATCTCCCATGTGATGCAGGGGCCCAAGGACTTGAGAGCCATCTTCTGCTGCCATCCCAGGTGTCGCAGCAGGGAGCTGGATACGGGATGCTGGTGCCGCAGATGGCGGCTTAATTTGCTACAACTCATTGTCGGCCCCTCATCTTTCTACATGAGATGTCACCCAGTCAAAAGCCAAGCTACAACGGGGGAATGTGTGGAAGGCCAGGGACGTCTAGCTAGCTGGGGGCGCAAGTTCAGCCGCCGTCTCGGGGAGGGCCTGGAGGAGCCACGGGCAGCAGGCCCAGCGCTCCCGCACAGGGCACTGCCCACTGCCTCCTGTCTCGCAGATGCCAGAGGCGGGAAGGGAGAGGGCGGAGAGGAGAGTGGGTTGAGGCAGACGGGCACAGACCCCACTTTTCTGCTTCCACAGTAACAGTCCCTTCAGAGGTGTCTGTGGGAGAAAGGATGTGGGGGGCGGGGGGCCTCAAAACTGGCTGCACCCAAAGGAACCGAGTCTGTGCAACCTTTTCCCCATTCGTCTCCCTCCTTCAGGGCAGCTGCCACCCAAAGCCAGAAAGCACAGGCAGGCACTGTGGCAGGGCAGGGCAGGCTGCCTCGACCCCTCTCAGAGTGCCTGGGGAGCTCCAGTCCCATCTCTGGCTTCTGCCCCTACAGCCCTGTTAAGGCACCTGGCAGGCAGCAAACGATGGCCCAAGTGCTGGGTCCCCCGCCACCCACGTGGGAGACTTGGATGGAACCCCGGCTCCTGGCTTCAGCCAGCCCCAGCCCCGGCCATGGCAGGCATCTGGGGAGGGAACCAGCCGGTGGAAGATGGCTCTTGCAGTCTGTATCTCTCCCTCCCTGTGTCATCAAATACATAAATAAAAAGAATGGAAAACAGAAAGTCAAGTGATGCGTGTCAGTGAGGAGGAGAAACACGGGGCCCTCGCGGGCTGTCAACAAGGACAACGCTGAAGCCGTTGTGAGAAGCAGGAGGGTGCTGTCAGAAGTTGTCGTGTCACCCCGGGATTCCACTCTGGGTACCTGGTCCCCCCAGATGGAAACAGAGCAGGGTCTTAGAGAAAAAGGAAGGACATTGGACCCCTAGAGGACAATGCTGAGCAAGGTCAGCCAGACACACAGAGACCCACTCAGGGGGTGCCTCTTGCAGGAGGGACCCCAAAGTCATGACATTTAAGAAGCCAGAATGTACCATGGGAGTGGGTGGGGAAGGGGGTGCGTGCTGAGCTGACAGTTGACAGATGAGTGTGGGCAATGCCACGGAGGTACACACTTGAACACGTCTATTGTGGTAAGGTTTCTGTGTCTTTTATATTAAAAATGTTAGAGACGAGGGCGGCATTTGTGTCCACAGCACAGAGCCTGGCCTAGAGCCCCAGGACTGGTTTCTGATTCCAGCTTCCTGCTAAGGGACACCCTGGGGTAAGCAGGTACCAGCTTTAGTAGCTGGGGCGAGGAGTTTGTGCCACTCACAGGAGACCTACCCAGCTCCTAGCTCCCAGTCAGAGCCGCCCAGTGGTTCTGGGTTAACAGGCAGTGACCAGCACACAGGACCACTCTTTCCACCTCTCAAGTTAAAAAAATAAAATCTAAGAAACATGTAGGATGGAGAGCCACAGCAAGGGCTGTCACTGTAGGAGACCAGGCCATGGATGCCACTAGCCTGGCGTCCCGTATGAGTTCAGGTTCATGTCTGGCTGCTCCATTTGCCATCCGGCTCCCTGATCTTATGGCTTGGGAGAGCAGCAGAGGAAGGGCCAAGACTTGGGTCCCTGCACCCATATAGGAGACCTAAAAGCTCCAGATTTGGGTCCGGCCCAGCTCTGGCCATTGCAGTAGTTTGGGGAGAGGGTGGGGAAGGGTGACCCAGTGGTTGGAAGATTCCATCACTTTGTGTTTCAAATAAATAAAATAAACCTTTAAGAGAAATACCCCCATGACCCCTGGTAGGAGTTGAGGTCTGACCCCAAATACAGAGGCCTGTGTGGTGGGAAATGACTAGGGCAATGTCAAGAAGGCGTGGGACACTTACACATACACACACCATCACACACTATCACACCCCATCACACTCCTCCCGACCTGAGGAGCCTGAGCAATGGCTCTGGGTGCTGGGCTCTGGGACGAGCCTCTGGCGCCCCCTGGTGGTCTCCCAGGGCCCTGCATGCAGGAACAACAGTTGGATCAGCTGGCCCAGCTTGCACTTGCTGGGGAATCTGCCGGCTCCGGCCTTCACCCCCAGGGCTGTGGTTTCTGAAGCTTTTGCAGCCTACCCCACCCCTGCTCCAAGACTGTGAGGTGCTGGGGGATGCCCAGCCTGCCTGCCCCAAACCATGCATACACACACAACCATGTGCGCGTAGGGTCTTACGTTTTTCCAGGGGACTCCTTTAGCCAGAAGATGTCGTCGCTGGTGATCCCATACTCTGAAGCCCCTTCGACCTGTGGGGAGAGAGGAGGGGGGTGGGTGGGGGATTCATTCCTCTCTGGGACCCTCCCATGAACCTTGCTCCAGACTCTGACACAGGCCCTGAGGCGGGCATGGCAGTCGTGGGAACCACCAGACAAGATGTTCAGGGACAGGAGGAGAGGGTGGCATGAAGGTCAATGGAATAATAGCACCAAGCCTGGGTGAGGGGAGGCAGGCAGGACTGAGGGCCACCCTCGAGGGCGTCAAGCTGAAGGCTGGACCAGGCAGGCTGGGAGACGCAGGGATGTGTGTGCAGGATATGCTGGCAGGGATGAGGAAGTGAATTTTAAACTGTCCCCAATCCCAGTTGGGTAGAAGATGAATAAACAAATCATGTGCAGCCTCTTAGGCTTGGTCAGGGGAGACTGGAGGTATGAAAACAGAAGAAATTAAGACCCCAGCAAGGGGCCCAGCACAGTAGCCTAGTGGCTAAAGTCCTCGCCTTGCACACGCCAGGATCTCATATAGGCACCAGTTTGTGTCCCAGCAGCCCCACTTCCCATCCAGCTCCCTGCCTGTGGCCTGGGAGAGCAGTTGAAGACAGCCCAAAGCCTTGGGACCCTGTACCCGCATGGGAGACTCAGCGGACAGAAGCTCTTTTCTCTTTGTAGCTCCTTCTCTCTGTTCAGCTGGCTTTCCAATAAAAATGAATAAATCTTAAAAAAAAAAAAAAAAGACCCCAGCGAGCCTTTGCAGGTGCCCGAGGCAGGGGCAGCATGGGGCGGGTACACGGTCATTCAGCTTCATCCCAAGTGCACACAGAGCGTCAAAAGGGACTGCCTGACAAGGAGGTGCCAGGAAGTGGAGGGCTGGCCAGGACTGCCTCCCCCTACGCCAGCCCCATGCCTCCCAGCAGCTGGGAGCTGACCATGGCCTTGGGAGGCTCCACATGGGGCTGGCTGCTAGGCAGGGAGGTTCCCATGACCCTGTGGTGTCCTGTTGCAGCTGGGGCTTGCGAGTCCTGCAGCAGAGCCTCGTAGCTCGCCCAAGGGCTGCCTGTGCACCAGCTGTTGGGGACCCCCTGTATTCCTCAGGCAAGTGTTCCTCCATGCTCACTCTTGTCCTATCCCAGGGCAAGCACAAAGCTGAGACTAAGGCCGGGGACAGGTGACACTCGCAGGACTGTCCCTGGGCTCTCTCTCCACCTAGGTCGAAGTGACAGCGTGGGGTGGCCTCAAGGCCCAGGGCACATGTCGGATTAGGCTTGGGACCAACAACCAGCTTCCTAAGCTCTCTAAGAAGTGGCCTCACCCAGACCCTTCCTGTTTCCCAGTGACAGCACCCCCATCCTCACCTGAAACCCTGCCCTGCTCACTCAGTGACTCTGTCCTCACCTTTCCCTGTCCCTCCAGTGGGAGGGCAGACCCCTACTTCAGACCCACTGAAAGTGGGCCAAGAAGTGATGGCTGGGATAATAATGATGCAAGTAGGACCTGCTGGAATTTAGTGTGAACATGGAGCCAGAACTGGGATGGGCGATCGGGTTCAACCTTTTCAGAATGCTGGGAACCAACCGAAGGCACATGGGATCGTGGTGAGCAGTAGGTGACAGTGCAGGAACCTGGGCTCCCTGAGAATGATGGTAAAAGGACAGGCTCCCCATCGGAGGCTCAGGGACGGGGAGACGAGGCTGTGCCTCGGGGACACTCACGAGCACGGGGTACCTGGGCCGTCCTCCGGTGGCAATGACAATGTGGTCCGCCGAGAGCAGGGTCTGCGCAGAAGCACGGGGGGTGGCAGGTCAAACAGGGACACTGAGGTCCCCTTGCCACCCCTTGCCAGCCCCCAGTCAGCCCCCGAGAGGCCCTCTGACAGTCTCCTGGCTGTCGCAGGCTGCAGCCCCACTCTGCCCATCCCTAGTGCACCAAAGCATGGCTGGGCAGGGGGAACTGCCTGGGGCGAGTCGCACACTCACCTCTTTGCCGTCTTTACTGACTCCGCGCACCGTGTGCTTGTTCACGAAGCTGGCTTTGACGTTCAAGTACTTGACTTTTCTGCAAAGATGGTGGCAATAACGATCCCAGTAAGATGTGGCTCCTGCAGTTGGCTCCTACTGGTGACGTGATGGGGTTTGCACCCCGCTCCCTGCCCAGGGCCTGCTAGGCATGGGTCACACAGCCCAAGGAAGCAGCCCTACCTCTCCTGCAGCTGGACGCGGTGCCCCCAATTCAAGGACTTGACGTGGTTTTGGACAGCTTCGGCCATTTTCTTCCTGCTCAGCCACCACAGAGATGGAAAAGCCGCAGGAGAGAATGAGGGGTCAGCTCATGTTTAGACGGGGATGCCAGAACCACTAAGAGGAAACAGCCACAGCCATCCATGCCGTGGGGCCCCATCTCTGTCCAGGGCTGGGGCTGTAGCTCTCTGAGCATCAGGGAGGGAGCAGATGCAGGGACCACACAGGCTAGCTCACAGAGCACAGCCTATCCGGGAACTTCCGGGGCCGGCTCCATGTGTGCACAGCCACACAGTGCCACCTGCATCTCCTGCCCTGCGGGTCTTGAGGACAGATCATCCTTGGTGTTGGGGTCGTCATTCCTGGGCTCCACCAGCAGGTGCATCAACACGCCCCCCCCCCCCCAGCCTGGCCCTGACTCAGAGCAAAGCTGTCCCCAACCAGAGCCTCACCACGAACGTCCCCCCTAGAACAGCCACTCTCCGTCCCCCACCCTCCACCCAAGAGAAGCAGTAAAGGGCGGGGAATGCAGTGGCCGCAGTGTGGGTTGCTCACCAGTCATGCCGGACGGGCTGAGTCACCTCCCAGCCGTAGTGGCCGGCGTCCTGGATGGCACCCCCCAGCAATGCTGCCTGGTGCATCAGCTTCTTGGGGATGCAGCCCACGTTCACACAGGTGCCGCCCAGGCCCCACCTGGTGCCTGGGATGTGGGGAAGGGAGAACTCAAGTTTCTATCAGGGCACCCTTTGGTCTGGGGGTTAGGACGTAGGGGTAATTTCTATTCATTTGTGATGGGCAGACTTTTTGAACTTGTGTGTGATGAGGGGGGACCCGGTGACACCTGGACAGCATTTGGGTCATTTTCAAATGAGATTATGGGGGGCAGTGTTGTGGTATAAAGGGTTAAGCCACTGCCCACCACACCAGCATCCCATGTAACTGTCAGTTCGAGTCCCAGCAGATCCACTTTTTTTTTTCCCCAGGTCCCTGCTGATGCACCAGCAGAGCAGAAGCTGGTCCTAGGGCTTGGGACCCTGCCGCCCACGAGGGAGACCAGTTTGAAGTTCCTGGCTCCTGGTTTTAGACCAATTTAGCTCTGGTTATGCAGGTCTTACGGGAGTGAATTAGCAAATGGAAGATCTCTGTCTGTCTCTCCCTTTTGTCTCTGCCTTTCAACAAATCAACCAATCTCCGAAAAACAGAGCCCTCTCCAGAGACCACTGCCGTGGAGTGGAGGGGGCTGAGTGATTCTGGCATCAGCTGCCCCTTGTCCATGAGTTGGGCCCTACCTCCCCATCCCTCCATCCTCTTGCCAGCCCCCGATACACACGGATCCATCAGGCGGCCCACCTCTGGGAGAAGGTTCTACATAGTCAACCACGGCCACCTTCCTTCCCAGCTGAGCGGCTGCAATGACAAGACAACAGCAAGTGAGGATGACAAGCAGCCAGTCTGTGGCTGGGCCACAGCAAGGGTGGGGCGCGGAGGGTGGGGACGGGGGCTCCCAGGGCCTCCAAGGCCCAGGAGAGAGGACACGGTACAGGTACCGTGTTCAACCGAAAATGACCAGACACAGGAGGGAGAGGGAAAATACAAGGCATGAGGAGGAAAACCACCTGACTGAGGACCGGGATAGACAGCAGGATCAGCAGACAGAAGACAGGAACCAGACTATCCTACAGGTCAGGGACCGGTGCCAAGGTGCGTGTGCTAAGCCACCTCTTACGATGCCAGCATCCTATCTCAGGGCATTGGTTTTCCTGTTTTGTTTTTGTTTTAACATTTATTTCCTATTTGTATTGGAAAGTCAGATACACAAAGAGAAGGAGAGACAGAGAGGAAGATCTTCTGTCCACTGATTCACTCCTCAAGTGGCCGTGACGGCCGGAACTAAGCCAATCCGAAGCCAGGAGCCAGGAACCTTCATCCGGGTCTCCCACGCAGGTGTAGGGTCCCAAAACCTTGAGCTGCTTTCCCAGGCCACAAGCAGAGAGCCGGATGGGAAGTGGCACAGTCAGGACAGGAACCAGCATCCATATTTCCAGTGCCTACAAGGGGAGGGTGAGCTGCTAGGCTATTGCGCCAGGCTCAGAGCATTAGTTTTTTTTTCTTTAAGTCCCATCTACTCCATTTCCACTCTAGCTCCTTGCTAATGCGCCTTGGAAGCAAATCATAGTCCAAGTCCTTGGGCCCCTGCCTACCACGTAGGAGCTCTGGATGGAGCTCCAAGTTACCGGCCTTGGCCTGGCACAGCCATGGCTGTTATTGTGGGCGTATGGAGTACGATCCAGGGGATAAAAGACCTTGATACCCCCCCCCGACACCTCTGCCTTTCAAATAAACTATCCCATACTTCAAAGAACTAAGGAACAACCTGGAAGACAGACCAAAGGGCCCAAGTTGGATGTGTGGAGATGAAAACCGTGCACAGAAGATGAGAAACACTGAATGAGAGGCTGTAGATGACACAGGAATAGAACTTGCCCAAAAGGAAACACAGAAAATCCAAAACCCTTGTGGTTTTTTTTTTTTTTTCCCTGAAATAAGGGTTTATTCAGCCATGATGAATGCTAGTCAGAAATAAATACTTTTAAACAAGTCCTGAGGTTGACACTGCAGTGCAGCATGTTAAGCCTGCAGCTGCTGTGGAGGCTAGTTCCTGTCCCGGCTGCCCCACTCTGAATTCAGCCACCTGCTAATGCACCTCGCAAAGGAGTGGAGGATGGCCCAAGAGCCAAGGCTCTTTGCACTCTCTGAAGAAGCTCCTGATTCCCAGCTCTGGCTATTGTAGCCATTTGAGAAGTGAGCCACTTAAAAAAAAATCCAGGGGTCTGGCGCAGTAGCCTAGTGGCTGAAATCCTCGCCTTGCATCCACTGGGATCCCATGTGAGCGCTGGTTTGTATCCCGAATGCTCCACTTCCCATCCAGCTCCCTGCTTGTGGCCTGGGAAAGCAGTCAAGGATGGCCCAAAGCCTTGGGACCCTGCACCCATGTGGGAGACTCAAAAGAGGCATCTGGCTCCTGGCTTCAGATCGGCTCAGCTCTGTTACAAGCCATTTGGTGAGCGAACCAGTGGACAGACGATCTTTCTGTCTCTCCTCTGCATAAATCTGATCCGCTTTTCCAATTAAGAAAAAAATGACATAAATCTCATTTTTTTTAAAAAAAAAAAAAAAAAGAGGAATGCCTATCCTGGCTACCGCACTGTGCTGTGCCTGCCAGAAGCTGGTCTCCTTGGAATAAAACAAAACAAAACAAAACAAACAAAAGGGCAATCAGGTACTGTAGTTTATATGGGCTGGGTGGGGAGAAATGGAAGCATAGCCCTGCAAGGTGTTTCCCCCTGAGGGACGGGTGTTATCCGCAGGAGGCAGGCGCAGGCGCAGGCTGAGCGCCCTAAAGCAAACACTTCCCAACTTGTTTGTGTATCCATTCAGAAAGGATCAAAGCACTCAGTGTCAGAGCTTAACCGAGCACAAACTCTTGGAAGAAAACACAGACAGGGCCCTCCACGTCCCGCCTGAGGTCATCGTTTCTTTGCTGTGACACCAAACGTGTGCGCAACAAAAGAGAAACAGAGCCGAGTTGGATTTCATCAGAATTAAAAAGCAAAATAAAACAAAATAACAACAGGTGCTGCCAAGGACACCATCAAGAAAGTGAGGTGTGGTGGGTGCCTGACAGGTGCCCGGGGATTGGTCCTTGGCCCCAGGCAGCAGCCAAGCGATGGATGGGCTCAAGCGGCTGGGTTCCCGGCACCCATGGTGAGGACCACAGCCCTGGCTTCTCACAGCCCCAGCTGCTGCGGGCTTTTGAGAAGTGAACCAGCACATGTGCACATGGGAACTCTCTCTCTCAAATAGATCAAGTGGAAAGACAACTCACAGCATGGGAGAAAATATCTGTAAATCCTGACGATAAAGGCCGGACATTGGAAATACAGGGGCAGGTGCTATGGCACCCAGGGACACATGTGCCCCAAACTCATGAACCTGGGCCAGGTTCCGTCCGAAGAGGCACAAGTACCTAAGTGTGTGGGAGACCCAGCAGGAGCTCCAGGCTCCTGTCCTCAACCTTGGCTAGCCCAGCTGCTGTAGCATTTGCAGAGGGTACTAGCAGATGGAAGACATTCGCTCTGTGCCCTGCTAATGCAAAACAAAACAAAACAAAACAAAACAAAACAATCTTGCCCAGGGCCTGCATGTTGGCCCAACTGTTTAATCTTCCAGCTCCATGGGCTGAGGTCCCATGTAGGCACTGGTGACTATCTCGGCTGCTCCACTTGCTACCCAGCTCCCTGCTAAAAGCTGGGAAAGCAGCAGAGGACGGCTCAGGTGTTCGGAACCCTGCACCTATATGGGAAACCCACCCAGAGGAAGCTCCTGGCTCCTGGCTTCGGATAAGCTCAGCTCTGGCCATTGTGACCATCTGGGAAGTAAACCAGTGGAAGGAGCTCTGTCTCCTTCTTCTGTGAAACAGCTTTTCAAGTAATAATAATAATAGTAAATAAAGGATGACAAATTAAAAAAACAAAAAACCTCGCTAGTAACAAGACAACTTTTTTCAAAATCAGAGCCAGCCCCAACACTTCCCAAAGATTTCTCCTAACAGCCAGTAAGCCTAGGGAAGATACTTAAATTCTACCAACTGCCGGGGAAGCCCCAAGGCAGCCACCTCTTCACACATCTTTAGGTGGGCTCCAAGGGGGAGAGTAGACAAGGGGCAGAGGCAGAGAACCCGGAACCCCAGGCCCTGCAGGTAGGCAAAAAATGGCACAGCCACCGTGGGCACGCTCCAGCAGCTAGGCAGTGCTAACACAGGAGGCAGGGACAGATGTCCACCCAAAACAGCAGCATACACACACGCTCACAGTTATAACACTTACTACTACCATAATTGGGGCTTGGACCAGCCAGCATCAGGCCCCCAACAGACTGGGGACATCTAGAAGCTACAGGCCTGACGTTGTCTTTCTCTCTCTCTTCAAAGGTTTATTAATTTAATAAATTGAGCAACAGAGAGAGAGAGAGATATCTTCCATCTGTTGATTCACTCTCTAAAGCTGGGTCAAGCAGAAGCCAGGAGCCTGGTACTCCATCTGGGTCAAGGATTTGAACCAGCTTCCACTGCTCTCCCAGGCACATTAGCAGCAGACTGAATCAGAAGTAGAGCAGCTGGGACTCAAACTGGTGCCCAGGTGGAATGCTGTTGTCACAAGTGGTGGCTTAACTTGCTACACCACATCGCCACCCTCACATGGCTCTTCCTCACGTGAGCACGGAAAAACGCACATACTCCGTGAGAGAAGCAAGGACACAGGCCAGCAGTGACCTTGTCCTGGGAGATGCCCAGGGCCTAACGGCTGCCAGGAAGGAGGACAGAGCCGTGCGTGCGGAGTGAAGACAACACAGGGGCAAGACTTCATGAATCTGCCAACAACTGCTGAACAGTAACCTTGAAGCAGATGAATCACGCAAGCAAACCTCAACCCTGTACTTTATGCACACGGGGTTGTCTCCAGAAAGTTCAAGGAAGATGCTTATCAGACCAAGCTAGGCCTGGGCTTCAGAAATTATCTTCTTTTTTTTTTTTTTTGGTACTAAACAAAATTCCTCTTTTCCTTTTTTTTTTTTTTTTTTTGCCCCCATGAACTTTCGGAGGGACACACGTATGGTATTACTTATATCTCAATAAAATAGTTATTCAAAATATGAGACGCTTGCCCATAAATCTGACAGAGATGGGTTAATGCCTACAGTGCCTCAGGCTAAGAGAGAGGGTGGGGCCTAGGCATCCAGGGAATCAGAGTCAGGCTTCCCTCCCCACCTCTTGTGCCCCCAGAGGATGTGCAAAACCACGCAGATGCTAGGACCCAAGTGTGCCCTCCTGTGGCCCCTCAGTCATCCCTCGTATCTGACATCCCATACAGAGGACATAGTTTTAAGGGGTATGCGTATTCAGTACAGCCCCAATGTATTTCCCATCTGTGTTGAATCACAAAAATGCAGAGCTGAATATGAAAAGCTGAATACACTGCTAGGAAGTGAATTAACGGAGGCTTCACTTTGGCGTAGTGTGTTAAGCAAATGTCTGTGGTGTCAGTATCCCACATGGGCACAGGTTCAAGTCCTGGCTACTCCACTTTCAATCCAGCTCCCTGTTAATGGCCTGAGAAAGTAGCAGAAGATGCTCCAAATTTTGTTTGGGCCCCTGCACCCATGTGGGAGATCCAGAGGATGCTCTGGGCTCCTGGCTTTGGCCTGCCCCAGCCTTGGTCATTGCAGTCAATTAGAGAGTGAACCAGCAAAGAGAGACCAATCTGGCTCTCTCACTCTGCCCTCAAATAAATTCAATCTTGAAAAAAAGGGGTCGGGGAGGCCTAGTGCAATAACCTAATGGCTAAAGTCCTCACACTGCACATGCCAGGATCCCATGTGGGCACCTGTTTGCATCCCGGCAGCCCCGCTTCCCAATCCAGCTCCCTGCTTGTGGCTGGAAAAGCAGTGGAAGATGGCCCCAAAGCCTTGGGACCTGTGTGGGAGACCAGGAAGAGGCTCCTGGGTCCTGGCTTCGGACTGGCTCAGCTCCGGCCATTGCGGCCGCTTGGGGAGTGAATCAACGGATGGAAGATCTTTCTCTCTGTCTCTCCTGACTTTCCAATAAAAAATAAATTAAATCTATTAAAATAAGGGGTGGGGTGTCTTGTTGCGTCCCCAGGTGAGCTATCATTTGAGATACTTGCATCCTAACTGGAGCACTGGTTTGAGTCCCAGCTGTTCTGCTTCTAATCCAGCTCACTGCTAATCCACCTGGGTGGGAGGCTGATGATGCTCCAAGCACGTGGTCCCCCATCACCCACGTGGGGGACCTGGCGGGAGTCTGGGCTCCTGTCTTCGGCCTGGCCCAGATCTAACTGGTGCAGCCATTTGGAGAATGAACCAGCAGATGGAAGATCTTCCTCTGTCTTTCAAATAAGTAAACCTTTTTTTTTTTTTTAAAGATTTATGTAAAGGGAAGGAGAGGGCTCACATCCGCTGGTTCATTTCCCAAACACCTGCAACATCTGGGGCTAGGCCAGGAGCAAAGCCGGGAACCAGGGCACTCAACCCAGGTCTCCTACCCGGGCCGCAGACACCCAGGCACTGGAGCCTTCACAACTGCCCCCACACGGTCAAGAGCAGACATAGCAACTGACCCCAAGTACCCTAATACAGAATATGAAATGTCTCGACAGGCATCTTTACACTGCCCCTTTAAGAAAACTTAAATATTCAAAAAGCATATTCAATATGCAGATATTCATGGCTGCCCTACTCACAATGCCCCCCCCCAAACTGGAAACCTACAGAAGAATGAGCCAATAAAATATGCAACAGCCATATCTGGGAATACTTCACAACAAGAAAAAGGAGGGTATTGGGGCTGCACTATGGCCCAGCTAGCTTCCTATACAGGCACTGGTTCAAGTCCCAGCTGCTCCACTTCTGATCCAGCTCCCTGCTAGTGTGCCTGCAACATGGGTGCAGGGCCCCTGCCATCCAAGTGGGAGACCCAGATGGAGTTCCAGGGTCCTGGCTTCAGCCTGGCCCAGATGTGACCAACTGGGAGGAGTAAACCAGCAGCTGAAAGAGCTCTCTGTGTCAAATAAACAAACCTGTAAAAACAAATGCCAGTGGGTATGCACCCCGGTTTATGATGTATAGATTGCATCTGCACAGAGCGTCCATGGGTTAAATGTCACTTTCCCCAAAGGGCAACCCAGGCCAGTGGCTGTGGGGACTCTGGCCTAGGGAAGACACCTTCGCTACAGTAACAGAGACGGGTATTAAGGGCCTTAGCCCTAGATGACCCCATATCCGGGGGGTAGGGTAGAGGTGTGGCTCTGAGGGCCAGCTCTAGGGTTCCACCCCCAGCTTCCAGGGGCCAGAGCATGTTCTCCCCAGGCTTCTAGAACCCAGGGGCCACAACGAGGTTCTAGGAAAAAAAGGAAAAAAAGGCCACATCGGCTCTCACCCAAGCTCTAATGATGACACTGCCTCCTCCCCCCTCCACTCCCCCCCCCCCCCCACACACACGCAGGCTGCTGGGAACCATTCCTGTTGCTAGGCAACGCATGCCCGCACTGATGTCAAGGCCAGAGGACCAAGCTGACGCCCTGTCATTTGGACCTCTCATTTCTATCCCTTTCCCCTTGCCTGCTTCCTCTTCCCTGCTTAGCCAGGGCAACTGGGACCCCCTAGAGATGGTACAGGGTCCCCAAGAGAGGCTAGTCTGTGTGTTCCCAGTTAAGCACAGAGAGATGAGGAAACCCCACAGCTGCCCAGGGAAGACCACAAGGCACAGGCAATGACAGAACTTTCCAGAAGCTTCTGAAAAATAACAGGTGCTGCACTGCAGCACACTGAGCCACCATTTGCAGTGCCCACATCCCACAGCCAGCAGTGGGGACAGGGTAGGAGACAGGCCACAGCAATGCAGTAGCTGGGCTGACCCTGGCAGCCTTTGACCCTGAACATTCAGGCCCATCCCCTCTGGGCCACAGGGAAAGCTTCGAAGCCTTGTCATGCCCAAGGACACGGGACACAGGCTACCTACCTTCCTTGGCACACGCCAGGCCACCAGATCCCCCACCAATCACCAGGAGGTCGAAGTTCGGCTGCTCTGCTGGGGAAAGAAGGGGAGGAGTGAGACAGAAGCCAGGCCTAGAGGGTCCCCCAGCAAGTATGCAAAGTTCACAAAACCCCTTTGGGTTACCCATGGGGACCCTGGAGGCCCACCCCACGGCCATAACAGCTGATAATGCATCACGCCCTAGAGCAGAAGATGACCACCCTGTACCCATCACCTGCACAGACAGGGTGCCTCATGATGCCTGCAAACCACACCCTGCCCCCAGGCTTACCCAAGTCCTCTCGCAACTCAAACACCACCCAGTATTCTGAGCTACACAAGCACCAGCACAGGGGGCCGGCAGTTTAAGTCCCAGCTGTTCTACTTCACAACTCAGCCCCTTGTTCATGTGCCTAGGCGAAACAGCGCAAGATGGTCCGATGCTTGGACCTGCCAGCCACAGGGAGATCTAGATGGAGTCGCAGGTTCCTGGCTTCAGCTTGGCCCAGCCCTGGATATTGTGGCTATTTACAAAGTGAGCCAGCAGGTGGAAGATTTCTGTCACTTTGCCTTTCATATTAATTGTTTAATAATAAAAATTAAAAAAAAAAAAAAACCCCTAACATGTCTCCTGGAGTCCATGGGCCTGAACCCTTCAGTTGAAAGCAGGAATTTTTAGGATGCCTGGCTGCAAGGATGCAATTCTCAAAGTACCAGAGTTTGTGGTCCTGGAACTCTTTTCTAAGTCAGTTACAGAAAGAGGGAGATACAGAGAGATCTTCCATCTGCTGGTTTATTCCCCAGATGGCCACAACGGCCAGTAATGGGCTGGTCCAAAGCCAGGAGTTTCTTTCAGGTCTCCCACACGTGTGCAAGAGCCCAAGCACTTGCATGTCTACCCTCAAAACGGTATCCCTTTTGAGCTCACCACGGCATCACCTCGGAGGCAGCTCATGTCTTCCTACTGTGAGTGCCCTCTGTGTCCACTCTGTGAGTTGCTGGCATGGAGGGTAGACCAGAGACAGCCAAAAAGTGTCTTCCTTTCCCTCCCCTGGCCCTGGGGAGAAAGTTTCGCAGGGGAGGGAAAGGAACCAGTGACCTAGACGCTGGGTTGGGGACACCAAGCACGAGGTACCAGCCCACTACCACAGAAGGAAGGGAGAAACAATGGAAAATGAGACACTTATGGGGGGGCGGCGTCTAAGGACCTTGGGTATAAACAGGGGATGCTACTTGAGGCAGACCTGAGACTACTCAGGGTAAGGAAGTGAGCTACCCCCTAGGGCATAGAGGTTGGCTGCTGCTACTGGGCAAGACCAGGGGCCCCCTCCTCAAAGGCTGGAGTGTCTTCCCTGCACACCAGCAAGGGATTTGGAAAAAATTTACAAAACACTGGAGTGAAAAGATATGTTTGTGAGGGTCAGCGCCATGGAGTAGTAGTGAGTTAAGCCTCTGCCTGTGGTGCCAGTATCCATGTGGGTGGCAATTTGAATCCCAGTTGCTCTACTTCCGATCCAGCTTTCTGCTTATGACCTGGGAAAGCAGTGGAGGAAGACTGAAGTCCTTGGGACCCTGTACCTGCATGGGAGATGTGGAGGAAGCCCTTGGCTCCTGGCTACAGACCAGATCAACTCTGGGCCTTTGTGGGCCATTTGGGGAATGAACCATTAAATGGAAAATCTCTCACTCTCTCCTTTTTTCTTTGTAACTTTGACTTTCAAATAAAAAGTAAAATTGTTTCAAAGATATCTATGTTGCTGCAAAAAATAATTAAAATTCATGCATATTGTTTTTATCCTAACATGTACCTTCCACAAACTTTGTAAAGATGCCTTCATCTGCCTGGACTCCAACAGCCTTGGGGAACCTGGGCTCCTGCAGCGACTACCCCCTAGCGACGACCACCTGAGTCCCACCCAGCAGCTGGCACTGACGTGCCACAACGGCTTCCAGCAGCGAAGCATATCCAACTCGAATTCTACTCCAGAACGCCAAGAAGAGCTCAAGGGTTGTAAGCGGTTCTGCTGGCTGACAGGAGCCCTGAGAACCAACGACCACTTGCGGCAGCCCTCTCCCTCCTGTCCCCACAGCCCGGTGAGGGGATAGAGGTGGGGGGTCCCCAAGCATTGCACAGGAGAATATTCCTACCTGCCATTGCGAGTGGCCTGTCTTCCCCATTGCCAGGACTGGGCTGTTCTGCCCAACACCCAGCACTGTGACCCTATCCCCACCTCAGGGCCTACTATCAGGCCTGCCCACATGAATCCTGGGCTTATCTTGGGCGGTTTGCTCCCTTCTGGCTACCACGCACACTGCTCAAGAGCCCACTCTGTCTGATAAACGGCTGTGTAGGGGCCACGATGTGGCAAGCAACAAGTGTAGGGAGGCTGGCCTTAATCCCTGGGAGGTCTTGGGCTGGAGCATAAGATGCACCTGTGCCCAGCTCACTAAGCCCCACTGTGCCACTGCCAGCCGACTTCCTTGGTCTTGATCATTTCTCTGTTCCTCTCTGTACCCTGCAAACAGCAGGAGCCTGGCAAGCACAGAAGGCCCAGTGTACTGGGCCCCAGAGGCCAGCAGCAGCGGGTAAGAGCAATGTTGTTCTGGTTCTGGTTCAGGGGCTGCCTCCATGCCACCCGCTCACAGGACCACAGCTCTGAAGCAGAGGCTGCTGGCTACGACGAAGGCAGAGGCTCCACATTGCACAATTGGGGTCGGCACCTTCTCCAGGCCCCATCAGCTCCTGCTCACCCCCACTGTGGCCCAAGGCCACCGTTACTGAAGGGTCCCCACTCTGCTGACTGCCCACCACAGCCAGAGCCATGGCTCCTTGTTCATGGGTCTTCTGCAGGTACGACTGCACGGGGTCAAGTTCCCAGCCTCAGTTTCCCCAACAGGAAGTGGGGACCGATTTGCCCAAGGGACCTGTGCAGCACTGCCGGCCCCCCCAGGAGCCCACCCACATAGACACAAGTCCCCTGTGGGCTTCCCCACATGGATACCAGCCCCACATGGCCCCTCCAACGGGACCCTCAGCTCTCCACAGGGATCCCCTCACAGACACTCCCACTTTGCACAAGGACAATTCCCTCTCCATGAGGACTCCTCACAAGACCCCCCCTCTGACACCCTCACTTTTCACAAGAACAACTTCCTCTCCACAGAGACCTCCCCACACAGCAGGGGTCTCCTTATCTTCACCCCAAAGCTTTCTCTCCACAGAGGTACCCCATAGGGACCCCCTCAGACACCACCACTTTCCACAAGGCCAATCTTCCTCAGAGACCCTCTCAGGGACCCACTCATGGATACCCCAAAACTTTCCACAAGGACAACTTCCTCTCCACGGAGACCTCCAGAAGGCCACCCCAAAGGTACCCCCATTTTCTGCAAGGACAACTTTCTCTTCACAGAAATCCCCTATGAAGATCTCCTCATAGACAGCCCAAAACTTTCCACAAGGACAATTTCCGCTCCACAGAGATCCCCTCCCGGGGACCTTGCTCCCCACGGGGACCTCCCGCTTTCCACAGGACACCTTGCTCCCCACGGGAACCCCTCACGTGGGTAACCCCATCCACCTCGCCGTCTTCCACGAACATTCCCCACAGGGTACCCCCACTTCCACGAGGTCGCCCCGCACCGGGGCGCTGCGGGCCCCCTACCTGCAGCGCTCCGCGCCGCGCCCCGCAGCCCGCCCGCCGCGGCCCACGGCCGCCACCGGAAGCGCCCACCGGGCCTCCGCAGCGCCGCCGCCGCCATCGCCGCCATCGTCGCGGGGCCTTGCGGGCCGCCAGGGCTGCCCGCGGCGCTGCCTGTGTCGCCGGGAAGCGCCAGTCAGCTGAGAGCGCCGTGGCCGCCGGGAGGTGAGTGCGTCGGCTCCGGCGGGGCCAGAGGTCGGCCTTGGGCCGGGGCTCCGGGCACCTACGGGGCGGCGGCGGGGTGGGGGTCTGTGGTCTTTGGGCCCGGGCTGGAGCATCTGATCTGGGGTGGAGAGATCTGAACCCTGAACGGGGGTTTTCAAACCTTGGGCGGGGGTCTCCGGATCTTGGGCGGGGAGTCTTGGGACCTACAAAGCCCTACAAGCCCCATTTGGGGTGGGGGGAATCTGACCCGGGGTCACCACATTCCGTGTGTGAGGAGGGGGCGTCGGTGTGGGGGTGGGGGACAGCAGGTGGAGCAGGAGAAGTAGGGTGGTCCTCCCTCTTGCACTGGTTGATTGGGTCTGACTCCCTTCCCCGAAGGTGAGTGGACCCCTGGGGACAGGGCTTCCATTGGGTGCCCTGCCCACCTTGGGTCAGCTGGAGTCAGACCCTGGGGAGTGGGAGAACAGGCTTAGCAGTGTTCCTAACAGAGTCCACCTTTGAATGCCACAAGCCTTGCAGCCCACCTGGGAGGTGCCCAGGACACTGTATGGTTGGACTGAGCTGGGGTGGCGGGGAGTGGCAATCTCCCCAGGGCAACCCCTGCTAATAGACCAGCTTGGCCAATTTTTCTAGCTGCAGACTTTCTGTCTACTGCTTTTTAAAATGGGATTGTGTGGTCCTCTGCGGACCCTTGGGAAGTGCCCTGAGCACACGCCACTCCCTGGGGTGGTGGGAGGATTCTGCAGGGCTCAGAGGGGCATTATGTCGCTGACCAGCACGATGTGGCCAGCTCATTGTCATCTAGGATGTTTAGAGAGTGGAGCAGAAGTAACTGGGCCTTTTGGGGGGAAGTGGGAGGAATGGGGGAGCTGGAAGAGTGAGAGAGGAGCTCAGGGGAGCGAGCAGAGTTCCTCCCCGGCTCAGTGCAGTAGCCTAGCGGCTAAGGTTCTCGCCTTGCATACCGGGGATCCCAAATGGATCCCAAATGGACACCGGTTCTAATTCTGGCAGCCCCGCTTCTCATCCAGCTCCCTCCTCTGTCCTGGGAAAGCAGTTGAGGATGGCCCAAAGCCTTGGGACCCTGCATTAACGTGGGAGTCCTGGACGAGGCTCTAAACTCCTGCATTCGGATTGACGCAGCTTTGGCTGTTGCGATCACTTGGGGAGTGAATCAGCGGATGGAACATCTTCTCTGTGTCTCCTCCTCTCTGTATATGTGACTTTCTAATAGAAATTTTAAAAATCTTTTAAAAGTTCCTCTCACAGGACAGGAGCTGGGTCTTAAGAAAAGAAGATTCTGGTTTCTTGTCCCTAGGCAAGTACAGGGTGTGTCCTGCGTTGTGTAAGCCATGGGCCCTTAGCAAAAAGAGAAGCAAAGATGCATGGTTGTGGTAGCGGGGTGGCCAGAACAGAGGTTCTTGTTTTCTGAATTTGCAGAGGACAGATTCAGACAAGCTTGAGAGACAAATTCAGGCAAGCTCGCAAGAGAGCGAGCGTCAGCATAAGGGACACTTCTCGAGGTGAAATCAAAGAGACAAAGCTGCCATTCAGACTGGGTAAAACAAGTGTATGGAGTTGAACGGGGAGAATACACCTGCCAGGCCCGGTGAGCGTCTGAGCAGGGGAGTTCCAGGGAGATGAGAGCCTTGCTCCTGCTGGACTGGGGTACGCCTCTCAGGAAAAGGCTGAGGAGACAGCTGTTCACAGGCAGACTTGTAAAGGTCCAGGCCCTGTTCTTCCCTCTGTCTCCACTCCACCCCTGGATAAAGAGTGTGCTAGGTGTGAAATTCCTCCCACAGTTTTATTTCTCAGTGTTATCAGCCTGATTAACTCACTGGCATCCAGCAGACAGCGCTCTCCTTTCCCACTGACAGGTTGATCATTAAGTTCACAACAGAGGCATGGCAGTTAAAGTTGCCACCTGTGAGGGCCTGGCCTGGTAGCCTAGTGGCTGAGGTCCTTGCCTTGCACATGCCAGGATCCCATATGAGCATGGATTCTAATCCTGGCAGCCCCGCTTCCCATCCAGCTCCCTGCTTGTAGCCTAGGAAAGCAGCCCAAAGCCTTGGGACCTTGTACCTGTGTGGGAGACCTGGAGGAGGCTCCTGGCTTAAAGTTGCCACCTCTGGTTACTGCATCCCATATAGGCAAGGTTACAATGGTGGCTCAACTTTCGTCCAACTCCCTGCTAATACACCTGGGAGAGCAGCAGAGGATGGCCTAAGTGCTTGGGCCTCTGCACCCACATAGGAGACCCAGATGAGGCTCCTGGCTGCAGGCTGGCCCAGCTCTGGCCACTGATGGAAGATTCACTCTGTCCTTCCTCTCTGTGTGCCTGGTTCATCCCTTGCCTAACCCCCTCCTCCCACCCCCTCCCCTCCAGTGGCAACAGTGGCCAGAGCTGAGCAGATTTGCAGCCTGGAGGCCTTTCCCACAAGGGTACACGCTCCAAGCACTTGAGATATCATCTGCTGCTTGCTCAGGCCAGGAGCTAGATCAGAGGTAGAACAGCAGGATTAAAACTAGAGCCCAAATGGAATGCCAGAACTTCAGGCAGAGGATTAGCACACTATACCACTGTGCTGGCTTCTCAAATAAATATAAAAAAAGAGACAATGAGCAAGATTCTCCTCCATTGAAATACAGCTTTTCTCGCTACCATCATGAGGGAATTCCAAGTAAGGTTATTCTTGTTTACAACAGGAATCAGCCCTCATTGAATCTGGCCTGATTATTTAGCTAAGCATGGTGAGGAAGGCAATTGTGGTGACTGACCTCACAGGCCTTTGCTTTTGCTTTACTGGAACTTCTCGTTTTAAAGTTTTATTCATTTATTTGTAAAAGCAGAGTTAGAGAGAGGAAAAAAATTTCCGTTCATTGATGTACTCTCCATACTGCTTTGACAGCTAGCACTGGCCAGGCCAGTGAGACTCTATCTTGTTCTCTGCAGGTAGCAGGGGCCCAAACCCTTGGGCCATCCCTCACTTCTTTCCCAGACCACCAGCAGGGAGCTAGATCAGAAGTGGAGCAGCCAGGGCTCAAACCAATGTTCATATGGGGTGCTGGGCGTTAAAGATTGCAGGCAGTGTTTTTTTTTTTTTAAGATTTTTTTTTTATAAAGATTTATTATTTTTTTTAATTGGAAAGTCAGATATACGGAGATAAGGAGAGACGCATAGGAAGATTTCTGTCTGCTGATTAATTCCCCAAGTGGCTGCAATGGCAGGAGCTCAGCCAATCCAAAGCCAGGAGCCAGGAACTCCTTCTGGGTCTCCCACGCAGGTGCCGGGTCCCAAGGTTTTGGGCCATCTTCAACTGCTCTCCCAGGTCACAAGCAGGGAGCTGGATGGGAAGCGGGGCTACCAAGATACAAACCAACACCTGTATGGGATCCTGGTGCGTGCAAGATGAGGACATTAGCCAGTAGGCTACCACAGCAGGCCTGGCAGTGATTTTTTTTTTTTTAATGTTGTCTGCACAGTTGAGAGGGCTGCACGCCCTTGTGGGCCTCTGATTTGAATGAAGAGGGTCAGGTAATAAGGAACAGTTTTTTTTAAAGCTTTTTATTTTGTTTTGTTTAAAGATTTCTTTATTTTTATTGCAAAATCAGATATACAGAGAGAGGAGGAGAGACAGGAAGATCTTCTATCCTATGATTCACTCCCCAAGTTAGTACAATGGCCAGAGCCAAGCTGATCCAAAGCCAGGATCCTGGAGCTTCTTCCGTGCAGGAACCCAAGGCTTTGGGCCGTCCTCAACTGCTTTCCCAGGCCACAAGCAGGGAGCTGGATGGGAAGCAGGGATGCTGGGATTAGAACTAGTGCCCATATGAGATCCCAGCACATTCAAGGCGAGATCTTTAGCTGCTAGGCTGCTGCGCTGGGCCCAGATGTTTTTCTTTTTTTTATCTCATTTTCATCTCATTTTTATCTCATTCCTTGTTGTCAAACTACGCCAGCTCCCAGCCATAGGAGATGGTCATTTGATAACACCTTAGAGACCCCGATGTGAGGAAGAGTGTTCCGAGGGTGTTACTTGAGTGGGTTTTTTTGATAGTTCTGAGAAGTTGGTTTCGTTGCTCCAGGGTTGAGAAAACCTAACCAAGGTCTATACTGGTTGACAAAGCCCAGCTTAGTGCATCCACAGACCCAGGGACGTGCTGCAAAGCCAGGAGAACTGTCCAACTTGTTATACTTTCCATCCTTTGACAAGGCACTCGTCATCCCCCTGCTGACCTAGATGAGCAGGCTGGCGTGTCCCCTGTGTGCTTTTGAGCATGCTGTCCACTGCACAGGAATCAGCAACTGGGGAGGCACTAAGATCAGGTTGCATAGCCTGTGATTTTCCCTGTGGCAGGGGTCTGAGTCCAGCCATCTAGCTAGGGAGTCCCTTATGAAACCTCCCCTGGGGTGACCTCAGACTTGACTCTTGTGTGTGCCAGCCAGTGCAGGGTCAGGTGCAGTCTGTCACCTGCTCCAGCCAATACAAATACTGGTAGATGCAGCTGCCTGGTTACTTCTGCCCCCTGCCCTAAACCAATAGGTACTGTGGTCCAGCCCAGCCGGCTCACCGCAGACCCAGTCTTCATATACACTTGTGGGTGCTGTAGCCGAATCTAGGTGACCCCTAATAACCCCACCAGGCCTGCCTCCAGCCCCAGTTTTTACATGTACCAGCCTCTACTATGGCCTAGCCCAACCCGCATTCCATCTGGCTCTCTGGCATACCTAGGGATGCTGCAGCTTAGCTCAGCCCAGCGTACCCCCCAGACCCAGCCCTCCCATATGCCAAAAGGTGCCACTGCCTTGACCACTCTGGCCCACCCACTGCCCCAGGTCTCGTGCTCACTAGCGATAAGTACAGCCTAGCAGGAGAATGCTCACAATTCCCAGGCATGCTCCCAGTCCCAGATCTTGCACCTTCCAGGGGTAGTAACTGTAGTCCAGCCTGATTTCACTCACACCGAATCCTGGCACTTTTCAGCTGTGTGATGCAGCCTA